AGGGTCGCTATGAGTCACTAATGACTCGATGGCACATAACAACAACAACATGAAGCAAATGAAAATATCATGGCATGGATGTGTTTAAACTGACGTTCTTTCGTACTTTAAGGGGTCTTTGAGAGAAAATCTTCCCAGTGCTGCACATCTTTTGATTTCCTGACTGCTGGGACCGTGGATGTTGCTTGGAGAATCCAAGTAAAGCTGTAAAAATGAGATCATAGACAATTTCAGTCTTTTTCCCCATCCATCATTATATTGGCCCAATAGTGAGGATTTTTGTCTTCTTGATATTGAGATGTGATCCATATTGAAGGTCTCTGATCTTCTGCAGCAAGTGTTTCAAGTCCTCTTCACTTTTTGCAAGCAAGGTTGTGTCCCCTGCATATTGAAGGTTGCTGATAAATCTTTCTCCAATCCTGACGCCACATTTTTCATCAGATAGACCAGTTTCTCAAGTTATTTACTCAGCATACAGATTGGATGGGTATGGAGAGATCCCGGATGTACACTTTTCTTTATTTTAAATCATGCAGTATTCTCTCGTTTTGCTCAGACAGTTGCTTCTTGGTCAAGGTATAGGTTTTACATGAGCGCAACTGAGATCTGAGATTCCCATTCTTCTCAATGTTAGCCATAATTTGTTATAATCCACAGAGTCAAGTGTCTTTGCATAGAGAAGGAAACACAAGTAACCCTCTTCCTCTTATTCTCTGCTTTCCGACAAGATCTACCCAACATCAGCAATGCTATCCCTCATTCACAATGTATCTCAGGGCACGAGCGGGTCTCGTATAACAGATTACATGGAAAACTACAGTCAGGCTTGGGGAGGAGGCTGGATTTGTCAGAAGGGAGCTGCTGTTTTCACCAGCATAACCTCACTTCAAGGAGCCCTGCTGGCATGGTGGTTTAAGAGCTCAGGAGCTAACCGAAAGGTCAGCAAGTCAAGCCCATCCAGCCGTCCCATCCAGCCGTCCCATCCAGCCGTTCTGCCGAGGAATGTGCTCCCCAGGATAATTTTCCGCTTTAGAAACCCTCTGGGCTCTGCTCTGTCCTCCTGTCCTCCGGGGTCACTGGGAGTCACAGCTCCACAGGGGCAGATCTGGGTCTTAGTAACTGCATTTCTGACTCAACATACTTTATATTGACCATATTTTCAGAGAGCATTCTAGGCTGATCCATAAAGCACTCTTCCTCTAAGACCTCCAAGCCTCAGGATGTTTTCATTTGGCGGATACCTAACTGCAGGATGCATCTGATGCAGGTTCCAGCTCCATCCCCAGAGCACAGCTAATCATGGGCTTGGCGCCCTCTGGTGGTGGTGTATGCACCAAACAGCGGTACCCAAACCTGCCTCACCCCACCCCCACCCCACCCCCAGTACCCATCAGTGGGAGTTCTGGTGACCCTCCATGCGGTTCGACCACCTATAAATCCTTGTGGGAGAAGACTGCCAATCTTTTCTCCGAGGATTAGGCAGCGAATTCTAACCGCTGGAGACTACTGTAAATCCACCAGTGTAAATCTATTGTCTGTGAACAAAAGAGATAATAGAGTATCTCTCTGCAAGATAGGTCAGACCTACAGAGACTATGAATCTCCTCCCCTGCAAGTTACAGCTTCTGTAAACCCGCTGAAGGGTCAGCTGTGAGTCAGTTCCGACTGGACAACACAGCACAGCAGCAATGTCCAACACAGGATGTCTGTGTTAACAAACAGGTGGATTTAGCTTAATGGAAAAGTCTGTTTCATCCCTGCCTTTCTCAACTCATTATAGGTTGAAACCTCATTCACAAACCAACCATGCTGTTCTGCTGAACTACTGGTATAACCTCCCCCCTTCTTCAAAGCAAGGAAGGAGAGAGGGACTAAGACTGAGAGCAAGAAGAACAGTAATAACGTACTGAGTTGCAAGATTTAAACATCAAAAGTAAATGTAATAACCAGCAAAAGGTGCATGAAGTAGTCTAAGGAGGGAAGGAGAGAGCGTAGGGGGCTGAGGTGAGGAATCGTGGGGCCACAGAACTGGGTGAGCAGTTGGGAAGAGGGGAGGGAAATGGGAAAGATCTAGTAGGGACCTGAAAATGGGTAACAGTTGGCACAGATCAGGAACAGTTGTAAAATCAACAACACTGAAGTGACAGCAGGTCATTGGGAGGACACAATACTGAGTGGCAATGGACACAGCTTAGAGAGAAGACAGTGACTCGAGGTAAGGAATCAGTTCCACAGCCCGTTTCCTCTCCAGGCCGTGACAGAACCTTTCTGATTCCCATCTGCTGCTGTTGCTAGGTGCCATCTGTCTCTGCAGGGGCAGAGGAGAGGACAGGGCAGTAGCTGGGGCAATCCCATCAAAACCACACATTCTATTTTTATTGCTGTTGTTATGCACCGCTGGGTCAGGACCGACCCACAAATGACTCTCCGGTAGGTTTTCAGTTAGAGGCAGTTAACTGCACGGGAGATAGTTGCCCAGCATTCTCTCACGGAACAGCTGCTGGATTTGAACCATGTTCCTTTGGGTTGCCAGAGCAACACCTTACCACTAGGCCACCAAAGCTCCCCACTATGAGACAGGTAATTTGCCAAAGGGCTGAAGACATTACTGCGGAAAGGAAGATGAAGGTTTAGCAGTCGCCGCTTGCCTTGTTCTCTTACGTTGCTCTGTGTTGCCATGAGCCAATTCCCTTGAGTTGGAATGCCCCCCCCCATCTTTCAGATGACTAAGTGAACTCCTATTTCCTCCTCAAAACCCGGACAAAATAACCCACTTCCATGAAGCCAGGCAGTGGGAATCACCGGACAGGGGAGTTGAGTTCCTTGAGGGCAAGCCAGCGCCCCTGGAGCAGCAGGTACTAAACCCGTTAAGGAAAGAAAGGGAAATAATAAATGAAGGAAGGGTGCATTTTCGAAAACCAACTTTGGAAAAGGCGCAGCCAAAATTCCAGAGCTCCCAGAGCGTTGACTGTTACCTTTGAGAATCTGCGCGATGTTTGGGAAAGCCTGGCAATATCCTCAAGATCCAGGTAAGAAATGATGGTCAGGAGCAAGTCGTCTGGGAGTCGCTCCAGGAAGTCGAAATGACCACTGCACAAATTGATGACATACTCTAATATTCGTGACCCAAATACTAAGGCGATCTGAACTGCAATTCAAAGAAAGCGACATGGTTACCGGGTGCAGGGGCAGCCCCCTCCCCCGGTGGTGCTCAGTTAGGCTGAGTGGTCCCAGCTCTCCCCCAGCTGCCTCGATGACCACGACGGGCAGATGTGAGCACTCATGTCCACTTACCCCCCCTGCCCCGCCATCAGAATCTTTTGGAGGCTTTCACCTGTCAACACAACTCCTCATCACACCAGAAGCAGCCTCTGGACTACGCTAGTGACCTGAACTCTCACCCAAAGCTGCCCAGTAGGAACAGACTCACAGCTGACCCTCCAGCGGGTTTTCAGATGCTGCAAAGCACATGCGGAGACTGCCCAGCTCCTCCAGCGGAGCAGCTGCTGGGCTCAAACCGCCTCTCTTTGGGCTGGCAGCACAACTCCTCATCCACTAGGCCATCTGAGCTCACCGACTGAACGGCCTGTGTTTGTCTGTGTCCATGGGGACCGCACACACTCCCAGAGGGAAGAGATGCTGGTGCGCTCCACTAGGACCACGCTGCTGTGGTTGTGCACTGCTGACGTGTAACTGACCCTCCCTCGGGTTTTCAGAGTTTGCCCGTCACACAGGAGAGTGCCCGTCGTCCTATCCTCCCGTGGAGCTCACAGACTCGAACTGCCTGCCTTTGAGCTGTCAGCACAGTTCATTATGACTAGAAATCCCAACCCAAATCTACTGATTCTGCCTCAAAGCCACCTTATGGGACTGAGTAGAGCTGCCCCATAGGGTTCCCAGACTTTATTAGTGTTTTCGGAAGCCAACTGCCCACATCTTTCTCACTTGGAGCGGCTTGTGTATTTGAACTGTCAACCTTTTGGTTAACAGCCCGGTGCTTAACTCCTGCACCACTTGGGCCCCTTGGAACACATTCATGCCTCTTGATAAGAATTTTCCCCCCTCTTATTTTCCATACATTGTTCCCCTGCTAGATGTTCTTCCTCCCTCTCCACCTTCTTTCAGCCTCATTTTTATGCAAAATATAAAAAGAAGCAGAGGGGAAAAAAATACACGGATACTTTCATGAAAAATGTTTTTAATTCTCAGGTTTTTCATGTCCTTCAGTTATTTCTAAATTAGGGAGCCATTCATAAGGGGATAAGCAAGACCACGGCTAATAAGGAAACTGACCCTTTCATGATCAATGAAGAGGTTACTTCTGGAAGGGCACCCGTTCAAATTTCCAACTCTGGTGGCGACTCTGTCTGCATTGTCCCCTGGGGAGCTGGGCTAACCCAAAGGCCCTGCCCTTCCGGCAATTCTAATCCACCAGCAGGTCCAAGGCAAGGATGAACACTCTCCTCCTGTGAGAGTTACGGCCTCGGAAACCGGTGGAAGGTGGGCTCTGAGTCCATGTCAACTGGATACCAGTGAGTTCTGCTACACAGACTTGCTTGTCTTCTTTTTAACAGGAACATTTGCATTTCAGTGTAGCAGACTTTTAGTACTCTTCAATCCAAGAAAAAAACCAAGTTCAGACAACTGCTGCTTCCTGGGATCTGCCATCTTCCCCCTCTGTGTTTGCTCATCCTTCTGCAGTCAGCCTGCACCACCAGCAGAGGCTGTGGAAATACTAAGAAGGAAGGAAGGGAGATGAGAAGGAGGAAAGGAGGAAGAGGGGAGGGAGAGAGAGAAGGATGGAGGGGAGAGAAAGGGAGGGAGGGAGAGGGCGAAAGAGAAGGGAGGGCGGGAGGGAATGAGAGGGAGAGGGAAAGAGAGGAAGGGAGGGAGGAAGAGGCGCGTGTGTGAGAGATGGAAGGATGGAAGAGGAGAGAGAGGGAGGGAGGGAGACAGGAAGAGGGGAGAGGGAGAAGGAGAGGACGAGGGAGAGAGAAAGGGGAGAGAGACATAAAGGATGGAAGGATGGAAGAGGAGAGAGAGAGGGAGAGAGAGTGCATGAGAAGGAGAGAGGGAAGGAGGGAAAGACAGGGAGGGAGGGAGGGAGGGAGGGGGAGATAGAGAGGGAGAGAGAGGAGAGGCAGGTGAGGCAAGAGAGGCCAGGTGAGGAGAGGAGACGGAGGGAGGGAGAGGGAGAGAGAGAAATAAGAGGGTAGAAAAGGAAGAGGGTGGAAGATCGTGGTGAAGATGAAGGTCAGAGAAAGGAAGGAAGATCTCCAAGAAGACGGAGGGGCACAGTGACTGCAACAACAGACAGCTTATCAGAGACCATGAGGTGCAGGGTTTGAGTCTGTCATCCACGGGGGTCACGGTGGGTTGTAGTCGACTTGATGACACCTCACAACCACAACCTTGCAGTCAGGAAAACAGGCTGCTGAGTGAGCGGGTGAGTCCGTCCCAGGGGTCCCATCGCCTGGACTTCCCCCGTGTGTCTGGAAATGTCTTCACACTCACAGTTCCTCCTCCTCACTCTGAAAGCCCCACTACAACCAGCTGTTACGGATTTAATGATAACCTCCCAGACTGTGTTCTAAATCCTAACTGGCCTGGGGCTCTGTGTGTTTCTTGTCGGCGGCTGACTGAAAGCTCGCAGTTTGAATCTACTGGCTGCTCAGTCCGTAGGGAATGTGGGCATCTCCTCCTGTTGAGATTTGCAGCCTTGTGAAGTCAGTGGCCCGTCACTGTCTCACTGTCATTTGGAATGGACTGTTGGAACGTAGGTTTTGTCTTGAGTGTAGGCCTGTTATAAGCCCATCTGGGAATGGGCTGTCTTTGTTGGTTGATGGGACAGTATTAGGGTTGCTCTTGGGTGTCGCTGAGTTGCCTATGACTCCTTGCAACTCTGTGAATAAAGGCTCTGAACCCTGTCCTGTTCTGATCCAACCTCACTGTCTATGACACACCTGACTTCACTGTGATAAGCCATCTCATCCAGGGTCTTCCTCTGTGCCGATCTCTACCTTCCCGAGCAATGACGTGAATCAAATTGTGGCTAACATTGAGAAAAATGAGAATCCCAGAACACTTGATGATGCTTATGTGAAACCTGTACCAAGACTAGATGTTGTTGTCTGAATAGAGCAAGGGAACACTGCTTGGTTCAAAATCAAGAAAGGAATGCATCAGGGAGGTTTTCTTTTTCTGTACCTTTTCATCTATATGAAGAATGGATCATTCAAGAGGCTGGACTGTATGGAGAAGAATGTGTCATCAGCATTGGAGGAAGATTCATCTACAATCTGTGTTATGTAGATGACACAACCTTGTTCACTGAAACTCAGGAGGGCTTGATGTTTGCTGCAGAAAGTCAAGAACTGCAGCCTTCAATATGGATTGCATCGTGGTTCGAATCCACCAGATGCTCGGCTGGAGAAGGAGGGACAATCTCCTCCTGTACCTGTCAGATCTGATTTGACGGTACACACATACAAAATAGCAATAATAAGAAAAAATTTAAAAAAAAATATGGATTGCATCTCAACATCAAGAATGCAAAGATCCTAACCACTGAGCCAAGAGGCAGTATCTTGACAGGTGGAGAAAAGACTGAGATTGTTAACGATTTCCTTTCCTGTTTAGCCTGGAATATTCCTTCTGGGGCAAATAGAATGGGACCCTCCGGACCACTGGGCTCCCTGCAGAAGCAGTCAGACTGTGATCCTGGAGGCTGGGCTCTCAGCTTTCAGAAGGCAGGTAAGGTGAGCGCATATTTATGTAAAAGCCCTGATGGTGCTGGCTTCCAAGAGCCAGTTGTCTAAGATTTCCCTTCCAAATAAGTTGGCCCAGCTTTCTACAGGTATTAAGAACTTAAATTGCTTCTGAATTCCAAGTACCTGGCCATTTCCAGCATTTCTACATTTCCAGGGCTTTCTTGGGGAGAGTGGGGGATATACAGCCTCCCTGAGGAAAACTGGATAAATTATGTTTACTGCATCGAAGTCTATGAGGGAGAGAATAGTTTAAAAGTATTATATTATAGGGCATTATGTTTATCGTAAGAGTACAGAATGAGGGTTGCAGAGTGGATTATATTTGGGGTGGGGGTGGGGTTTGGGAGGTGTGTGTGGTGGGGGATTGTGTACCAATGAAGGAGTTTTTCTTTTGCTTTTCAAGGAGAGGAGTGAACGGGTGGGGGGAGGGTGGAAGGGTAGGAGGGGTGGGGAGAAAAGTGCAACAATGAATGAATGGAATTCCAAAATCTCTCTAGATGTTCACTGACATTTAAAAAAATAAAAATATTAACTAAAAAAAAAAAAACAAACACCAAAACACAGCCTCCAAGGACAGGTGTTATGAAGACTCCTTGGTGAACATGTAAACAGCGTGGCTGTCAGGGGTGCAGCCATGTCTAACCTCCACTAACTTCACAAGGGGGAAGGGTCCCCATCGACAACATACATCTGATTCCCATGGGGCCAGACATGCCCCCGCCCCATGCTCCCCGGAATTCCTTCTACCAATTGTAAGCACTACCCTTCCTTCCAGCGCTCTCCTCCTGGCTCCGCTAGTCCACGGCAGTTCTGTTCAGGCCACACAGAACTCAGGTGATACTCACAATTATGGGGTTAGGGGAGTAAGAGGCTGAGATTCAAGTTGGAACAGGATACAGTTCTTCGTCAGGACAGCTTCCCAGGTGAGCTCGCAGGCCCTCAGACAGCTATCTTCCGGGCTTTGGGGCTCTGTTAGACAGCTGGGTGTTACAGAAGTGCTGTGCTCTCCCCCAGAGCCCTCCAGGAAGCCTGGGTGAAGGCCCCTGTCTGGCTCCTTGGCACGGTTGTTTCATTTCAGCTGTCTCCCACTGATGTCCGGTTCTCCGCGACCATTTCTGGCGCTGCTCTTGGTCTATATCCATCTTACTGAGAAACCTCTGTCCCCAAAGGATGCTGGCTGCACTCTCCACCACTAAACCTGATCACCTGAAACCTGATGGGATGACAAGACTCACTAATCTCCTCATCAGTAGTCTATATACTTTGCAAGTTTCTGCCCACAAAGTGCTATATTCACATTATTAGCATAGTCACATTATTAGCATATTGTGGTGCTGTCGAAAAATAATGAATGATCCCACGGCTGGGCTGCCGAGAG